CCAGCTCCCCCCAGACAGAAGCATCCATGTCAGGGAGCTGTTTGGGGCACTAGGCAGGGGAGAAGTGTCTGAAGGATGGCACAGATCCTGCATAGGTCAGCCAGGGGAAACCTCAGCAGCACCAGTGAGAAGGGAGGAGTGTTCACTGAGTATTTCTGCAATGAAATTAGGACAAAGTCAGACGACACGGGCAGAGGATGTGGGTGAAATGTTTGTTCTTCCATGACAAGATAAAACACATGGCTCGCAGGCCCAGATAACACACATTTCAACATGCTCAAGTCCTCGCTGACAAGCTGTCCACATGTCAAAGGGTGATCTCTGGCCTGCTGGAGATGCTAAAAAGACCCAGGAGACACAGCAGCCTGTACCTGCCAACATTCAATGGGTAAATAACTGACTTGAACAAGCACAGACTGCCCAGGCAAAGACAGCCAAGACAAAATACACGGATGGCTGCAACTGGGCCAGATCACCAGGAAGCAAAGGAGATCAGCATAATTAATGCCAACCAACATTCGTTTACAGCTGTCAGATCCTGTCGGCAAACAGGATTTGTTTTAGTGGGGAGGGCGGGCTTGACTGATAAACAAACCAACACTGGTGCCATTCAATCAAGCTCAGAGGAGACACAGGACTTGGCATTGTTTCCCATCTTTAACTGAGAAACTACAACTCCATCAAAGGGCAGGGACGCGTGCTTGAAATTGCTATTTGCTGGCTCAGATCAAACCCAGGACTGGGGGTCTGTGGCAGGGGACAAGATCTCCACCAGAGATTCATGTGCTACAGCAATAGGACCATTGCTGAAATAAAGCATCTGTTTGAGCTACTGACAAGTCACAGAACTTTCTAAGCTGAAAAAAGAAACCAGAAATTAAGGTCAGAAAATACGGAAAACATTAGAAAATGTGGGAACTTTAAAAGCTTTTTGTATTTAGATTAGCAAAGAGAGAGGCAAGAGGTGACTGCATCCTAAACTGTCATAGCTGACAAGGGGAGCAAAGCTTGCTCCAAGCTAATGGTCCAAGGAATAACACATTTCCCTGGCTGTAAACAGGAACAAGCCACGTATTTCCAGCACCTTGTGGAGCTCCTTTTATGGGGAGCTGAGGTGTGGAGGAACATGACAGCCTCTGTCAGGCAGGAGCCAACCTGACAGCTCCCAAATATTTCCTGCCATCACAGAGTCCATGCCAACCATTCTTGCCTGAGATCTGCATTGTGAAGGAGTGATTCACAAGCCCATGGATGTGGGAAACTTGTGATTACAGAGTCCAGGGGAAGCAAAAAAGCTGTGAGTTTACTGAAGTTTGAGGATACCTTTATAAGACCATCTAAAGAGATGAAACCCCAGTTTTCCAAGTTAGGCAGAGTCAGAGTTTGAGGTCAGTCAATGGTGCTCTGGAGGGTGCAAGGCAGTTAGGATGATACTGGCATTCACTTCCACATCTGCCTTGGTTGAAGACCACAAAACTGACCCCAAAGAAAAAAAAACACAAAAAGAGGCCATGTTGAAGCAGGCACTTCTAGGGCTGTGCTAGGGGTAGTGGGAGACACCTGCCAGCTCTGCCTTGGATGCAGTTAGCCACCTCTCCAGCTGCCAGAGGAGACCAACAGCCAGGAGGTCCAAGCCCACCCACCTGGCAGTGCCCACTAGGTGCCAGAATGGATGCAGAGAAATGCAGTGACACAGCCCACCACAGAGAGCTCATTGTACCTAAAGCAGAAGAAATACTCCTTGAAATGGCAGGAGGTTACAGGGGAATAACTTGCTCCCAGAGCTGTCAGAAAGCTCTTCTCTGGTGGGGACCCTTTCTCCTTTGCTCCCAGGAGTTGGGAGTGCCTGGTCTGACAGGCAGCTGTGTTGTGGGCCAGGAGTGCACATCCCAGGAAAGCAGGGCATACCTGCCTGGAGGGAGAGAGAAGCAACATCAGAGGTTATTAGGGAGGAAATGCTTTTAAGGGACATTAAATAACCCCAGCCTATGCCTAAAATAACCCATGTTCAGAGTAATGAGCCAGCAGCCCCTCCTGGGCTCCTCAGAAAGCGATTCTAGCCAGTAAGTCACTGCCATCCCAGGGGAAGGATGTCCTCTTACCTGTCAAGGATGGCTGCAGACATTTCCCCACAGCTCCCAAAAGCCAGGCCTGCACCAAAAGTCTCACAGAAATGCCAGCTCCTGTGCTCACAAGAGCCAGGGGGACAAAGATGCACGCTGCAAAGACAGCCTGGACATGAGACCTCCTGCTCCATGCCAGCTCACCTCCCTTCCACCCTGAATGAAAGGAGACTGTCACCCTATGCTCTTTTTTAATTCCTGTTATAAATTTGTTTTAAACTTTTCCTGTCCCTCCAAAGCCAGAGCAGACTGGGAAACACAAAGTTCAGACTGCCAAATGCCAGCACTACTGCACCCCCACTGCTTGGGAAACACAAGCCACAAACATTCCTGGTAACTTCTGCACAGCACCAGCAAGCCCATAGGGAGCCACACATCTCATTTACCAGCCTTTGGGACTAGATGTCAAGTTAACCTCAGGGGATGCCATGGGAAGGCTGCTGGAGTGCCATCTGTGGTAAGGCTTCTTTCAACTCTGGCCCAGACTTCCCCCCCACCTCTCACTGCCCTGTTCCCTCAGCTGGACCCCAAACCCTCAGCTCCTTTGCCCTACATACCTCCAGTCCCCTTCTCCTCCCATTCCTCTTTCTATTTTTTAGCATCTCCAAAGCTTTCTCCACCCTCCCTTCCCACCTTGCAACTTTCTTGCTGCCTCCTTCAGCTCCCTCTCCATCCCCAGCTCTCCCACACCTTCTTTCTAGGACTAGGCAGCCATGTCATCCTCCCTCCACTTCAGCTAATTCCCTCTCTCGATGGGAGCCAGCATTTCATCCCTGTCACTGAGTCCGCTTTCATGCCTCATGGCTTTTGCTTTCTGACCTCCTGAGATGGGAGAGCCATGGGTGACCTGCTCTTGGCAGGCCTGACCCCTAGCTCTCATTAACAGCACCTTTCCCAAAGCAGGCACACAGGAAATAAATAAACAAATAAAGCAAATCTGTCTCGCTGCTCTCTCGGGTTGCTTAAGGGAGTTGGGCTCCGGGGGTGGGATGAAGGATGCTATTTGGAGAAGCTGTCTCCATGGCAACCCCCATTCCCACCACCAAGCGGGCACAGGTCACCTGTTTCCACGAAAGTTTCCCCCTTCCCTCCCCATCCCAGGAAGTGCCAGCACAGCCCCAGGGGTGCAGACAGTCCAGGCCGAGGGAGAAGTGGCAATGACACAGAAGCAGCAGGGATGCTGCTGGCACGGCTGCCAATGGCCTCCCGAGTCCCCTGTGCCACACTGGAGAAAGGCAGGGCATCCCCACGGTGCAGTGTGCAGGGAGCAGCAGCACCCACTCCCCTCTGCCCCTCCCGGCATGGCAAACCCACGGTCTTCCTGCCTGTGTCCAGACAGGCCGGGGTCCCGTTCTCCTGCAGGACATTCGGACAGACACAGGCACCCTGGCCCACGTGCTGCTGGGACTGGGGCAAGATCAAAATGTGTCCCCTCCCTCTGCAAGTGCCTGTGGGTGTCTGTTTCCGTATGACTTCAGTTATTGTAAATCGAAATCCACCGCTCCCGTTAAACAGGTGCTCCCAGAACAGCCCGTGGTTCCCTTTTCAGCTCTAGCAGCTCCATCTCGCATGTGACAGATGCGCTGCCGGGACCTTTCCCCAGCTCAGGCAGCGTCAGCCCGGTGTCTCCGAGCACTCCCGCGGCCAACCTGACGCTCCCGCCCGCGCCAGCCCCCTCCCTGCACGCCCGCGCGTCCGCCACAGGGCTGGCAGCACTGCCTGATCCCCCACAACGAAACGGGCACAGCTCCAGGAGGAGATGGAGCGAGAGGATGAGAACAGGGAACTGGTTCTGCTTTCCAGAATCGAGGCAAGGAGCAGTGGTGGTGTCACCTACTGCCTGCACTAATGCATCTTCCACCAGCAACAGCGGGCAGCTCCTTGTGGCTGGGGTGGACAAGAGGGTCGGCAAAGAGCCCCCGGCTGAAGTTCCAGGACTGGCACCCAGGCAGCCATCCTGCAGCTCAGCGCAGGCTGGAGGGATTCACACGGTTCCCCCACAAGGCTGGGAGTTTCGCCAGGAAAAGCAAGTTTATAAATAGTGTGTTTCAACACGAACAAACGAAAGCGTCAGAACTCGACAGTCAGATAAGCCAAGGGCTGAGCACCGGCCCCTCCACAGCATCCTCCCCCACTGGGAAGGACAGTCCCTTCCCTCCATCATCCAGCTAGCCAGGACCTTCCTTGCTCTCTGGAAAGCTGCATCTGGAGGTGTCTGTGTCAGATGTGCTGCTTGGGAACACCCTTGCCAGAGCTGCTCTGGCAGCCAGAGCAAGGCAGCAGAGCTGGCTTCAAAAGGACCACAAGCAGCAGGGATGGCCACTTGGGGCAAGGACAAACACAGCCTACAGCAGCCAGCTGCCCAGCCAGGGCCAAGACCCACAAATTTCAATGTATTGCTTGAAAGAAAGTTTTCATAAGCCCACAGGCCAGAAAGTTTCTAACTTTTCCTCCTGTTCCAGAAGAAGACAGCTGCCCTACCAGTGAGGCTGGCACTCAAAACAGAAGTTCAATAGCAGGAAGCATTACACCGAAAGGCACATACCTGCCAGATCCTAACAACAAGAAAGAGACTCAAGGGGAAAATCAACTTTTATCTCTGTGTTAAGAAGAAAACCAGCAAGTTATTAGATGAGAACTTGTTTCTCATAAACACAAAACAGCAGAAAAGACACTCCTGTGCCTACCGAGGGAATGGAAGGACATCCCTGCTGGGGAACTACCTGCCAGATTGCAAAAGGAGGAGATCTTGATGGTAGTGCCCAAGGGAAACTATCAAGACATGGCACGTCAGAGCAGCCCCATCAGCTGTCAGGAAGAGAAGCCTCTGACAGCCCACTGAGCTCATCCAACGCTCCTCACGCCACACTCGCTTACCTTGATGTAAGTGTCAAGGGCCGGGTGGACACGGTTGACTGCCAGATGGATGGACAATGGTGTGGTGAACGGGAAGGTCGCCATGACCACGTGGCTGGGAGCAGGGAAGCTGAAGATCTTAAAGCCATACTTCTGGAACCGTTTGATCTGCTCTTCCGACGGCTTCGCATCTCCCTCGCTCAGGATGCGGCCTATGGCGAAGCGGCACTTCTCTGGAGACACCTGATAGAAGGGGACAGACAGACAGTGTCAGAAGACAACAGAGGCTTGAAACTGGCCAAAACCTCAGCTTGCTGAGGTTGGAGGCAGGAGATGACCATACACCAGTAAAAGCAATGGCCCAGCATGATCGGGCACACCAAAGCAGGCGCCCAGTCATAACACAGGCTGATCCAGGCCTAAATCATCTACACTCCTCCCAGCCTAACTGCACAGCCCAGTGGGGAAGGTGCTGCTCCTCTCCTTGGAGGGCAGAGGGACATGCAGCAGAGAAGAGCTAAACCCCACCAAGCTGCTCACTCAAACCTGTCCCAGGTGACAGTCACTGCAGGAAGTGTCTGTCCTGATCCTACATCAGACACCTTTCTGTCAACAACGGGTCACAGCCATCCCGTTCCGCAGGACACCCCTGCAGCTCAGGGAGGGCGCTTAGAGATGAGATCACAGCTTGCCCACTTTACCTCCACCCCACTCCTGACGAATTCCCCTGGCAGCCATGTGCACATGCCACCAACCACCATGGGCCACGGGCACTAAGCTGGAGAGAAATCCAGAGGCTCCCAGGTCCTTCCAAAGTAGACACACCCAGTATGGCAGTTTTGGGGTGGGGAAACTGAGGCAGGTAAGACCTGCATGCAGTCACCCAGCTGTTTGTAGTAACACTAAGAAAAACATATTCACTTCTATCCTGTACCCCAACAACATATAAAACCTAAAGCATGCTCTCTTTACAGATTTGAAGATGCCTCCCATTAAGACAGGGATGCAGGGCTCTCAACCCAGCAAGGGCAGTGCTCAAAGCCCTGCCACCAGCACAGTGATGGCCCACAGGACTGCAGCCATCTCCACAGCAAAGCTGACCCAGGCCACAACTTTCATTTCTAGTTTTCAACAGAATCCCACCACTTGAGTTCAAGCTTACTCACAGCCCTGGGTGGGAACGTGGGAGGGGGCTGGACAACCTAGCCACTTTCCCTGATGTAACCTAAGGGCACAAAGGTGTCACAAAACTCTCACAGGGACGACGTGAAGCAGAGAGAGGATGCACCAAGGTCAGCATTTTACCAGTTCCCATCCCCATGCAACACCATAAGGGGATCTGTGCTCCCTGCTCTCATCCCTTTGCTATACTAAAGCCCACCAATGCTTCCTCCTGCAGTGTAATCACCCTCTCTGCACTCCTTGCCCTGCCTTTCCCTTAAACACCTTCTGATGTCGCAGGACAGGACCATTCCAGAGAGGGAACACAACCAGGTGTAAATGGAAGGAGGAAAGCAGCCTGTGGAGCAGCATCCATCAGGCTGGGGACACGTCTCACGGCTCGCTCTTGCCCTCCTGCGCTGCAAGAGGGAGCTGCAGACAGGGCTGTGCCCAGCATCCATCACCACTCCGGGCAGGAAAGGAGAAGCAGATCCACCCCAAAGACAGCAAGAGGCAGCCATAAATGGCATCCCTGGGAAAAGAGCCAGATGAAACAAGTAGATATGGAAATCTAGATTAAATTCCTTTAAACATTCAATCTCCATTTATGTCCTGAGCAAAGACAGCTCAATCCCAGCCCTGGAGCAAATGTTGGAGGGACCGGAGCTGCTGGAGTGGGCAACAATGCACGGCCAGGCATGTTTGCTTCCTCCCTCCTCCTTTTACCTTTCCTCTTCACAGCATGTAGCTCCACAGACATCTTTCCACGGGTAGAAACAAAGCAGATTTGCCTTCCTGGAAAGGAAGGGAAGGGAAGGGAAAAGGAAAAGGAAAAGGAAAAGGAAAAGGAAAAGGAAAAGCTCCACTTAAAACCAGACTTTCCCTAACAGATTTGTCTATTCCGGTAGACAGGTGCTGATCAAAGCCTCTGGTCCTTCAAGCATCCTGACAGAGAAGTTCTGGAAATTAGTGCTTTGCCAGTTGGAACAAAACCTATTTCTGCATTCACAGAGCATTTTGGTCTTATCCATCCAACACTTGGGCACGGGCTTGTGGCTGAGCACATGGACTACAGGCAAAAGTCCCTGGCATGTGCCCACAGCTATATGTGAGCAGGAGCTTGGCTGGAGCTGAGCACAAACCCACCCGCCACATCCAGATCTTGCTGAGGAGTTATTTCTGTTCCTGACAGGGGTGGGAAAAGGAGGGAGAAGTCCTCTGGGCTGCTAAATATTAAATAAAAAGAAAAAAGCAGTTGAAATTAATATTAATCTCGTCCATTAAAACACAAAAAACATTGCTGGCAGGGTTTTGGCAGCACTCAGGGAGCATCCTTGTGTGAATGCTGGGAGAGCCAGGAGTCAGCAGGGAGCCCCAGGGACACTGGTGACAGTGGCTGCCCTGAGGGCTGGCATGACCCTGAGGCAGCCCACATGCTCCAGGCCAGGGGGCTCCCCCAGCCCCACTCCCAGCCAAGAGCAGCATATGGTGCTGCTCTCCAGCTCAGCATTCCCATCCTTTCTCCTAGCCTGAGATTCCTTTGACCATGAGTCCACCAGCACAGTAATTACCACATGGCACTTGCTGGCCACCAGCCCCTCCCTGTGCCAGTGTCAGGGGCACTAAACTCCCCAGGAGCCATGGCTGGGGGTGGCTGTCTGGCCAGAGCCCTCCAGTGCTCCACCCCCAACACAGCAGGACGCAGGATTTAGCCAGCACATTCTGCTGCCTGATGACAAAGGTCTATTTTTAGAGACAAGTCAACATCCGTGGCAAGTGGCCAACTCTGGGCGGGCCAGCTCTGCCAGAGGGTGCTTCACCGAGGTCAGGAGAGCACTGAGAATGAGGAGGAAGAGGAGGAAATCATCTCTTCCTCCCAGGGGAAAGGCAGCCTGGGTGACCAATCCCACCCCGTGGAACCTCCAGGAATGAGGAGCCAGCAGTGCACACCACCTCCCAGGCCATCAAGGCTCAGTGGATACAAGCACACAGGGAGCTCCATGGGACACTGGGGTGCTCTGCACCTGAGCCAGCACATCAGGTACAAGCACTGCAGCCTCCAGCCAAGAGACCAGGCCACAGCTGGCCCTTTCTTCACCTGCCCAGAGGCAAGAGAACCATCTGTCCAAACATACTCCCAGCACCCAGCCTGGCCTGACATGTCTGTTGGTGAGATGTGGATCTCTGTGGGGACTGCTTCAGGAGCCAGAGACCAGCACCTGGAAGGTCCCACCAGCACCCCAGCTGCTCCAGCAGACCAGGTCTGACACTGTGCTCATGGATGGCAGGCAAGGCTCCTGCCACAATGCAGAGCTGCAGGCACTGCAGCTGTATCCTGCACAGCCCCCTGTGCCCCAGCCACCACAGTGGCTACAGAGACAGAAGGCTCAGGCCAGTGTCACCTGCTCAGTGCCATGAGCAAAGGCAGCTGTTCCAGAGAAGGGCAAGGTCCGTGGGGCTGCCTGCCAAGCCTTGCAGGGCAGGTTGGACTCTTGCACAAGGAAAAACAGTTGGCTTCCAAAAACCTGGATGGCCACCAGAGACTGGGCCTGCAGCCCCACTGCCTTCTCCAGCCACAGGGTGAAGGCAGAGATGCAGAACATGCAGGAAGAGGAGAAAAAAAAGACAAGACCTGGAAGGGGAGGCAGTTTGACCGTGCATTGGCAGCCCAAATTTTCAGGGTCAGGTCAGAGTTACTCTTTCCTAGCCTCACCTGGTGCTACCAGGGAAAAAAAGCATTCCCTGTGCCAGACAGGGCAGGAGTTACCACAAATATCCTTATCAGTATCCACGAGGCTCAGCAGTACAGGCTTTTGCTAGCCCAGGCTTTTGCAAACAAAGAGCCAAGGCCCTTGATACAATGTCAGCTGAAAGGCTACAGGGCAGCCACAGGCATGTGCACATCATATTCCTGGAGCAGGACAGCACTGGGAATGGACACTGAGCCCTTCCCACAGCACTGACTGCCTGCTCTGTGTCCAGAGACCACGGCAGAACAAGCAGAACCATCAGGATTCTCAGCTCCAGGTGAGGCTCTCAACACAAGGGTACAAATGAGTGGCCATGAAATGGCCACTCTGACCACATGGGCACCATGGCTCCAGCTCCAAACATGACATTTCCTCCAGACAAGTGTCCAAGCTTGCCTATTCAAACCCTGCCTCTGCCCAGCTCATCCTAAGGAGAGAAGTCATCCTTGCCATCATCCCTCCCAGGCCAGGAAAAGGCACCACAGTGTCTTCTCTGCCTCCCATGATCCAGGTAGGTAGAGACAAGTCAGGGCACCACAGGATACAAGGACACAAGGTGGCTGAACACACCAGGCTCCTCTGTGCACAGCCAAGCTCAGTGCTTTCTCACCTCCAGTATCTTCCTGTCACAGCTCACTCAGCACTATGTTTTCATGGGCAAGTTCTTCCCTCAAAGCAGGTCCAATCCTTGGGAAAACCATCTTGCAAGTAACAAAACAAGGTTTCTAAAACAGGACCAGACAGCCCCAGAGCAGAAGCACTGGGTGAGCGCTATCAGCCCAAGCACTGTGCCCTGCACCAGCCCCCAACACATGAGCCCAAGCACACATGCACAGCCGCTGGCCACTCTTTTGTCCCTCCTCCCCACGGATTCCTCCACGGTCACACTAGCTACAGCAGAATTACCAGGGAGCCAGGCTGTCTGCCCCAGACAAATGCCCACATGCCATTATATTTGGAAACCCCAGAGTCATTCAGCATCAGCAGCCAGGTTCCACCACCCCCAGCAAGTTCTGATGCACTTTTGTTTGTTCCTTGTCTTTAACTGTTCCCATGGAGTACTGAGCTCTGGCTGGCAGCCATCAGGCTGCATGCTTTCTGCTCACCTCTCAGCCCAGGAGCATCATGGAGCAACTGTTTCATCAGACAGGAGCTCTCAGCACACAGCACCTGAGGTTTCAGTAAGAACTCTCAGGGGATGGAAGAACAGGGAAGCTCAGAAACACATGAGAACATTAGAAACGAGAGAAGGAGTATGGATGAGAACAGACCAAGCTTTTGAGAAGCGACCATCTGCTTTCAACCACAGAGCTGCAAGTCCAGAAGGAGCCTGGGCTGCACTTCCAAGGAACATGCCAAGGAATGCCTCACCTTGGGGTCGTGAACACTGGTTTCTGTTCCATAACCAGCTCTGTTACCTTGCTCAGCAGAGGCTATCAGAAGATACCAAGCTTTGCTCGCCCAACGCCTTTCAATCAGGATTATGCAAAACCCCATCTGCTTTTGGGTGCGTTTCCCCACACAGGGTCCTCTGTAGACCTGGGAGACCCTGCAAACCCCAGTGCTCACCTACAGAGGATGAGCTGCACGTGGCTGAAACACAGTTAGGGAGCATCCCGAGCTGGGAAGCACGAGAGCGTGCTGGGCTCGCCGGGCACACCTTACCGTGTGAGGGTTGTCATAGTAGACACCGATGGAGCAGAGCTTCGAGGAGATGCTGCAGCCATCCGTGAAGAGCTGCCCCGATTCTCCATAGGGGCCCACCCTGAACTTGTAGGCCAGTGTCATGCTGCCGACAGGGGGGGAGCCAGCACTCACAACCACCTCGGTGAAGAGCCCCGAGTAGACAACGAAAGCGAAGACGGTGAGCAGCAGCAGCACGACCAGCGCGGCGATCAGCCCCAGCAGCACCCAGTCGGTCATGATGGACACCTGGTGCGCCACGGCTCCCGAGGCACTGGCAGCAAGAGCACAGAAGAAAAGGAAGGGCAGTCAAGCTACCACCTGGGCGAAGAACTGCTTTCTAAAATTATTTATTTGCAGCAAAATGCACTCTCTTGCAATTCTTCTTATGTGTGAAGTCGAACAGAGTAGAACACGCCCCCCAACCCCCAGAAGCCTCCTGTATATTAGTGCCACATTGCATCAGCCTGCTCCAATTGGTCACCAGGTACAAATTATATTGCTTCAGTGCCACTTGGGAATGAGGTGGTTTTGAAGGGAGGACAGAGAGGCATCATCTCCATCTCCTCAAAACTGTCCAAATCCAGTTTTGCATCCAGGAGAGACCAAAAAACCACCCTAGGGGCCTGAATCATGCAACAGATAACACATACACAGCACTGGGCTAAAAACCAGGGAACCATAATAAAATAATTTATCATTTATGGGTATGAGGCCCACTCTAAGCAGGGCAGCCCCTTCATCAATACATCCAGAAGCCCAGACCTTCCTGCCATGATCCAAACGAGGACCACACCAGTTCAGATCCAGATTTAAGCACCCAGGCTCAGAAGAAGCTGAAAATCCAGCTAGAAAAGACATTTCCAACATACTCAGGTACAATGAATTACTGGTATTCCTTTCAGACAGCTTTTTTTAAACTAAAAGAGTTTTTATAACTTCAACAAAGGCTTCCTGTTTTGTTTGGCATCTTTTCTCTTGTGCTGACTGTGGGATACAGCAGCCTGGTGAATGCCTCCTGCTTGTTTTCACCCACCAAGTGCAACCACTCTGGGGAGTTGCAATCCAACCATTCCAGAAGAGCTGTTTGTGTTTTATACTCCCTTGAGACACTGCTCTGGTCACACAGGGAACGGTTGCGATGCTCCCCTGGGACTTTCACAGAAGGTCGGTTTGGAAGTGAGCGCTGAAGTAAACAATCCACCTTTACCTCTGTGTGTTATAAACACACTTTGTCCACAAAGCGTCGTTCACCGAGGCTGCTGCTTGTTCACTCAGCTTTACAAGAGAAAAGCCACATCCTGGTAGGAAGCGCAGGCGGCTCCGCTCTGCTTTGGCCCGGCAAGCAGATACACGGCAAAACCAAGCCCTGCTGAGCCCAAACTGGGGCCAGGCACCAGCTCACACCATGACCCCACTCACCTGAAAAACCAGCTCAGGCCAGAAATGCTTCAAGACATCTGATCCACTGGGGTGCAGGATGTGTGGCACTGCAGCAGGAAAAAATAAGTATCATTGCTTCCTCTCCAACTCACGGGACCAAAGGCAAAACAGCTGTGGCAGTGCAGCCAACAGGCGCCCGCTCACCTCGGACCTGCTCCCCCCAGGAGGGGTGTCCCGAGGAGAACCTCCTCCTGCAGGACCACGCAGGCCGAGATTTCTTCCCAAAACTCTGCAGCTGAACGCACGGGCACCAAGAAACAAGGAAATGGGAAAGGAGCGGTGAAAGAGAACGATGTCCTGCCTCTGCTGGGGTGTCCCAGCCCGGCCGTCCCCGGGGACACCTGAGCCGCAGCCGGAGCTGCTCCGGGTGCCCTGGCAGCAGAGAGCTCCCGAGGGATACACCCGCTCCCGCAGCGCCTCAGCTCCTCCCGGTAACCAACACAGACCTGCACTTCCAATCACGGCTCCGGTGATTCCCCCGAGCGGCCAGCCCCACGCCCAGCCCCAGGGCCCTGATGGCAGCCGCCCCAGAAGACAGCAGGGTATTTTTGGCTGTTCTTCCCGGTTCCCGTGGCTCGTTCCCTGCCGGCACTGGCAGGCACTGCCGGTTCCCCCCAGCCCTCCTCACGGGCCGGGGATGTCACCTCTCCTTTCCGCCCGGGATGTCGACCCTCCCGGTGCCCGAGCCCGGCGCAGGGTGCGGGTCTGCCCCGAGCGGCCCCGCAGTCCGGCCTGCCTGCCGGGAGCCGCAGCCCCGGGCCCCGCCTGCCCGCAGGCAGCGCCCCTCGCACCGGCACCGGTGCAGCCCCCGCCACGGGCGTGCCCACCGCCGGAGCGCTGCGGGACCCGGCCGGCGCCCTCCGGCTCCCCGCAGGCCGCAGCCTGGGGGGACCGGACCGGATCGGCGCGGCGCTGCCTGTCGGGCCCCGCGGATCCCCGCAGAGCCGCCCCCGCCGCGGTGCCGTGCGGGTTCCCCGGGCACCCCCGCGCTCTCACCGGGGCTCCCGGTGCGGCCGGCCCGGAGCGATCCCGGCGCCGCCCCGCCCCGCCGCCAGGGGGCGGCTGCGCGCGGGGCCTGGGGGCGGGGCCGGCGGGATGGGCGGGGTGTCGGGCCGCGATACCAGCGCGGGAGGCGGGGCTTCCAGCGTGGGCGGGGCTTGGGCGGGGCAGCCCGAGGGTTTGCGTGTCCCTGCGGGGCCGCGCCAGCGCCCCGCGGGGAGTGCGCCCTCTGGCGGACGGGCGGCGGCACGGCCCGGCCTCAGGGTGGGCACGGGTTCGAGCCCCCCCCGAGCTCCACACAGCTCCCGGCTGCTCCCCGACCCCTCCCAGCGCCTCCCCGGCTGCCCAACTCTCCAGCCCGGGAGCCCCTCCCTGCGCCGAGCAGCAGGGTTGTGCATGTAGGGCTCCCAGACCCCTGCAGCAAGGCGGAGGGCTCTCCCCTCCCAGCCCGTGCGCCCTCCAGGGCACTGCTGAAGCCAAACGCCGTGTCCTACAGCCTGCTGGGGCTGCGGCATCCCGCGGCACATCCCTGCCGAGCCTCCGGTGAATGGCCCCTTCCTTCCCTCGGGCCCCGGACACGCAGGTGCCAGCCGAGTGTCCCGGCCCTGAGCACACGGCCTGGCCTGGTGGTCGGGGCAGCGGGCAGCGCTGTCTGCAGCACCCCAGCCCTTCCCAACAAACGCAGAGAGGGTTTTCAACAGCTGCTCGCAGGTTCCATCGCTGGGGCTGTTGCAACCGGGCAGAAACATCTCGGTTTCTGCCTGTGTTTGGGCTTTCCCACTGCCCAGCTGGAAGGAAAATCAGCCAGACATCTCAGACAGCACTGCCCACCAAGGGGAGCACCAGGAGGGCTAAGAAGAACCTTCACACTTCTCTGAACTTTCTTCAGCCTCTTCAACCCTCTTAGCAGGGAACGTTTGCTCTATGTTGGTCCATGAGCCACCTCCAGATGGAACAGTGGAGTTTGCTGTGGCCTCTCCTGCTGTGGTTTCACATCAATTTTCCTGCATCCCAACCCCCTTCACTGGGGTTGTTGGGGTTTTTTTTGGTTTGCAGAGGGAGCCCAGCCACTGCTTTCCACCTCTGTGCTCATTTATGGCCAGCAGTGTGAAATACTGCAGCACTTCAATACTTGCCATTCTCCAGCAGCTTCCTTGTGAGGACCTCAAGGCTTTCCATAAACTGAAATTAGTTAAACCTCAGAGGCCCTCCTTGTATTTGGCATTATAACTCTTTTGCAGCTGTAAGAAAATATTCCAGCTTGGTTACGTGTCTCGCCTGGAGCCATGCAGTGAATCATTGGCAAGAAGAGGAACAGAACTCAAAAGCCCTGTAGCTGCCAGCTCTGGCCATCAGACACCTCTCCTTCCTCCAGCCTTAAAGTTCTTCAAATCTGCACACATTTAGTACGTAACGCATACCTTTCTCCATTACAATAGCAAACACTAAAATTTGGGTGTCATTTAACAGCTTCATGCCTTCACTCTGAACCAGTATGTTGGGGAGAGGTGAGGAAGGTAAAATGTGCTCTCCAGCAGGGCCCTGCGTGCCAGGGTATGGCAGGCACTTGGTCTCAGCAGATTTGTTTGAGCCCTAACATCTCTAACAGGGGATGCAAATCAGCCCATTCTCATTTGAATTCTAGAGTGGCAGTCAGAAGTGGAGGTGGGTTGTGAGCAGAAGCAGATGTGGCTGAGCAGCCCCACCTCTCAAACTCCAGCCAACATTTCTACATCTCCTGCAGCCTCTCTATGGAGGGACTCCATCCCAGCATTAGCAGGCAGAAATGATGCTCAGTAGGGCAGTGACCTCATCTCACTCCTCCAACAGTCCACATTGTCTCGGCAGGGTACCTGTGCTGGGACATTCAGCTCAGCCTTGGTCCAGTCCTTGGCTTTCTGCTCACATCTGCTGGACCCTCCATCCTCTGCTCCAGGACAAGATACTTCCTTGTCCTTCTCTCTCAGTGCCTTCACCTGCTGGACAAGGTGAGCTGAGTTTGCAAAGGTCATTTCAGGTGCACAGTAAGCAAATAGATGTGATAAGGATACTGATCACCTTGGGAACATGGCAAAACACAAATGGCTCTGACTAACTGTGCATGGAAATACCCTCCCTAGAGGGGCAGGCAAGAGGCCAGAACAGATCACACAGCCCTGAGGAATTCCCATCAGCACAGACACAGATGGGCTCCACTCCCAAGTCCTTCCTGGAGGCCCATAACAGCAACTCTGCATTACTGTTGATGAACCAAGACTGGCACTTTGTTCCTTGCAACCAAAGGAGACCATCAGTTGTGGAAAAAAACTGGAAGGCAGGCAGCACAGGCACGTGGAAATGCTCACCTGGTAGGTCCTCTTCAGAGGAAAGACATTGTAGAGGGCAGGGACTGTGGTGGCAGAGGGCAGGACTGGGCTGTGTGACAGAGTGAGGGCACAAAGGGCTGTTTGAGTGCTGCTTGGTCCAGTGTGCCAGGACCAGGGTGTGGCTCACTTAAGTCAGTAAGGTTTGGCCCTCCCCAAACACAGGGTTAGTGGTGCTGGGAGCAGGAAGCTCCCTGGGAATCATTCACAAAGGCTGCACAAGAGAGGACAGGTTTACCCCTCTGCATAACGGATTCCACTTCTAAGCACCCAGTACTGACACAAACTTTTAATATTTGCCAGTGTGGAGCTTCTTGTACGATTGATACATTTTGTAAAAGATCATTCGTTTGTTGAAATGCAGCTGCTGTTGATGGGAAAACTTCAAGGTGAGACCAGGAAGGGCTCACATACAACCTGGCATCCCATAAGGGCCAGACCTGTGAAAGGCAAACAGCGTGAAGAGCTCAGCAGCACTTCAGCCCCTGACCTTTTGGTGCCTCTCCTAAGACAAAAGAGGAGATGCACAGAAGGATTTACTGTTGGTCCATGGGCTTGCCCTCAGATTTACATTCATTTCCCACTGCAGGACAGCAATGTTTCTTCCTCATGACAGGAATAAAAATTTCAGTGTTACAGAGTATGAAAAGACACACACATTTTCTGACAAACTTAAAAGTGTTAAGAAATATGCAAATTATTCTTATGGCTGTCTATTTAGGTCACAAATGCTAAACAGCAAACTATTTCCCCCCCCCCCCCCCCCAGGATCTATTAGCAAAAATGGTCCCACAATTAAATGCAGTTTTTAAGTTATGAAGGAACTTCTCAGACAGACACATAACCTTTCCTACCTCCTGCCTCTGGAAACCAGAAGGGTCAAGTTCAGATTCTCACCTTGTGTTCAGATCCCAGTCCTGAACCACACAAACGTGGGTGTTGTAGGATCCAGTGGCTAAAACAAAACTAGCCATCAAACCAAACAGAATGGATGGCAGTGACAGGCAAAACACTCAGTAATGCCATGACACAGAGTGGCAGGACAAGTAATTCTGTCATGGGGAATTTCCATGGATACTACAAGTAAACTTCCATAAAGTTATGGAAGAAAAACATCTGTAGGTTGTAGCCTATGAGATCCTCTTTTTAGAATCAAAGCCCTAAACAGCAGATTGGAATTCTGCATCTCTGATTATCATCTGTTTAGCAAGATACTGAGGTGGTTTTTATTTAACAAATTGCAATGGAGCTTTCATCTCTTCCTTTCAGCTGTCACATCACCTCTGGTAGCTACTGTGAATGACAAGGAGTCATTCAGACTCCTGTCCCCAAGGCCAGCAACTACCTTTGTACATTGCTTTGATTTTTTTCTGTGAATAAAAGATCACTTACAAGCCTGAAGAGATGCATGATTCATCTTTGAAGTCCCCTGAAAATCATTTTAAGCTGTTTATAGCTCCAGTCACTTGGAACTTGGATGCGCAACTTTGACTCACGACCAAACAGGTCTGGCCAAATTCCTCCCGAGGTGCCAGGCAGGGGCCAGTGCTCAGGAGGAGCTGTTCCTACATTGGTAGCAATGCTCCTCACAGACACCTGTGTTTGATCCAGAGGACAGCACCTCCCTTTGCCCATGCTGGGAATACTGCTACCTCCTACTGCAGTGTGTCACACACACACACAAAGCACTATGCGGGGCTATCCACACCTTTTCCTGGTGAAAAATGTATTTTATAGGGACATTTGCATTGAAATATTCTCTTGTTTCTCCTCCTGTGGCATGCTTTCAACTTGCATTGCCTTAGCAACAACTGTGTACTTCCTTCTTTACCCTGAGGATTATCCTCCACTGGCTTTGAGCTACCGAAGAATACACATTTAACAAACCCGGCCAACCAGGCCCTTCCTTCCTCCTTTTTCATA